CTGTCCTGGCTGCAAGGTTTCTGGGCTTAGAATGAAATACGCAGGTGTTCTGTGGACCTGGAAGCTGCTGGTACATTCTTTCATCGATACAAAGTTGGGTAAGTTCCATGGGGAGGTCCTGGCCCTGATTCTAAGCCCTGAACAATGCAAGCTTCAGAAGAGAAAAGTAAAGAGAGAGCAGATAAGAACATTTTAAAGGAGACAATGTCAATTAATTTTTTCTTTAGGATATTCTGACTTTTACCTTGAAAGGTCAAAAATGTACTTTTTTTTAAAACATTAGATAGTCATTATATTTTGAAATCTCCCAACTGCATATCACTGAAATAATTAAAATAGGAAGCCTCTAGTTTAAAGTGATAAACTTTTTTCAATCTTTCCTAACATTCATAATTACAAGCATATTTTAAATTCTTAGATGCACATGTGAAAGCTGTATTTCTGGACTTGATGAATTCTGTTCTCTATTTCCATGTATAAAAGATCTCACAGTCCTGGGAAAACACTTTTTTAAAAAATGAAATACAACAAATAAGGTATGCTGCCGAGTCCTGAGGGAAACGTTTCCCAGAGTCTTTGAATTTCCTCCTATCCTCCTTCTTTACAAGATTTCTAAGACCAAGCCCTTTTCTACAGTCTCTCAAGCAAGGTAAAAAAGAAAAATACCCCCTAGATATATTCCTTAGATTTTCTATTATGCTTCTCAAGCTCCCAGTAGCTTCTGAAGTAAACCTAAGATGAGTTCTGGAGTTACTTTTATTATGTTTTAATTTTAGTTCCTCTCTTAGGTCTCAGATGAAACAGATAATCAGAACTGCTTTGTTTGGGGATGCATTTCATGGCACAAAGTGTGAGCGACCTGAGCAAGGTCACTTCATAGACAGAAGGCTCCCAAGAAGGGCGGGAAGCCAAGGCTAGCCCTCAGTGTGGAGGAGCTATGATACGGCCTGTTTCAGCTTGCACTACTTGATGCTACCTGACAGAAAGTTCTTACGCAATGTGTATGTGTGTCCTTCTGACTCATGTCAGCTATTGTTCAAATCACTAATTGGTAAGATCAGTTTTATCATGCCAGGAACCTTCATGCAGACGATGGCAAGCAAGCCCAGTCATCTAAGGCATTGGTCCTGGGTTCCAGACTTACCAAACTCCTCCAGCTTTTGAGTCTCTCTGCACAACGTTTTCACATTGGCAAATATACTTCCGTCCTTATTTTTAAAGAGCCAACTCCCTCCAGACCTTCTCTTGGCATCTCCCTCCATTACTTATAGCATCTTCTATTGGAATTTTATCAACTCTATTATAATCACTATCCATTGTGTCATTAAAGGCTTCTATATTGCATTTTGCCTGATCAGGATTTATTCTCTACAAGGTTTTGTTCTAAGAAGTGCTTTTAAGTCATCTTGCTAGCTTGAAGCTCATTTAGTGGACAGGCCAGCCTCGATCTTCAATGATTCTAATGCCTCTGCCTCTTGAGTGCTAAAATTGCAGGTGTTCCACAAATCACCCACTCATTCTAAGCACTCTTTAAAATAATCCGTGCCATAGATATTTGACTAGAAACTGTCATTACCCTTTTTAAAATTAAAAATAATTATTACACTCCACAAAATTTGGGGAGAATGCATGTCACAACACACACGAGGAGGATCAGCTTCTCTCTTCCACCAGGTGGGTCCCCCAGAGACAGAAGCCAGGCTGGCAGGCCAGATGGTGTGAGCCTCTCCCCTTTGAGCATCTTGCTGGCTCCATCCCCTCTATTTTACAAATAAAAAATATGAGACACAGAGAAATTAGGTAATTGTCTTAAAGACACCTCGTAGTAAGTGTCAACCATTTCATTCAAGCAGTCTAACTCAGTCTCCTCCTCCTTGATGTTTAGTTTGCCCCAAGTCTAAGAAAAACAGTTCATACACATTAAACAAACTGAGGAAAATTATCTGATCTTTCCCCATAGTATCCTTAACCTTCAACTTATTTTACACTCATTCTTGAGTATGGACGTGGCTATCTACCCAGGAAAAACCCAGCCCAAGAGAGCTAGCTGGGTCTTCCAGCTGAAGGCCTGGGATTTCGCCTGGCACTGTGGTTCCCAGGTTCCCCATGCGCAGATACTACACACAACAACCTCTTCTTGTCGTTGTTCTCATTTGTGACACTTGTTTGTGTAGTGACATGAAAACACCACAGAATAGAAATGCATTAATAAAGACAAGTCTCTTACTCTCTGTAAGCTGATAAGACTAGAGATGTCTCTTCTGGAATAACTCAAAAGGAGAATTTTTCTTTTGTTTTCTAGAAATCAGAAACACAGATCATTAAGGATCAGATGCTTATTTTCCCTTCTCATGGTTAAATTCAGGTCCCATATTCTTCTTATTCTTTATACTTACTCTTTTTCCCATTCTTAAAATAGTTCTAGCTCAAGGTATAGATTTGGAAAAAATATACATATATATTCTACTTTTTATAAAATCTTCTAAAACTTTGCTTTTTATGTTTTAATGGCCATGTAACATTTGGTTATAATAAGATATAGACCAATTTAATTATACAATCCTAGTTTAAATACTTTAGCTGGTACTGTCTGCTTTTAAGTAACAATGTCTCAGACATCCTCTCATTCATTTGTTATGTGTATGTGTGTGTCGGGGGGATCTTGATCCTATTACAGGTGTTCCTGTAAGAATCTGGGACACTGGGAAAGGGCCATTGGCTCTGTGGTCTGAGGAGGCTTTCTGAGAATGTGTTGTCTCTCCTTCTCTGGCTTGAGTAAGCAGCTTCTTTCTACCTCAGGAAACAAGCTGACTGAAAACTCTCTTCTTCAACCAGTCCCATTGGACAGCTTTGCTTGAGCCCAGCCCAGCCCAGCTCTCTTACCAATCTGGGTGCACCATCTCGAAGGTCCCTTTGGCACATGGCGCTCAGCCTCACTCATGGACACCACCCCCTTGCCACATGCCTGACACACAGCTGAGAATGTATCTACACGGAATTCAGGATTATTTCCCCACTCACTCAGAACCTTCCCCTTACCTACAGCAGGCCAGCAGCTCCCTCTCCCACTCCTCCCTCTCCAACCACACCACTGTCTATGGCATGTCACTCTCTTAAAGCAGCCCTCCCTTTCCTGCATCTTTTCCCCCATGTAATCTCTTGCTGATTCCTTTTGTTATTTTAATAGCACCCTACATTCCCCAGTGTCTATCTGCTCAGTGCATGTACTCAGCCCAAGGACTGGCAGCAGGGAACAGAGGGTAACTGGTGAGACCATGGGCTCTAAGCCTCCTCAAAGTGCAAACTCAAGCCCTAGCTCTGAGGCTTAGTAGCCGTGTGCCCTTAGGCAAATCGGTTCACCTCTCTGTGGCTTCTTTACTGTGCTGAGGAATTTGTAGAGTTGTTTAGTCTTTGCTGTAATGTTAACTGAGGAATAGAGCAGAAGTCAGGATAGCCTGTGAATGGAGACTGCATACGATAGCTTCTGTTCTTGTTTTGCAGTGTTGGCAATCTAACCTAGGTCCTCATGCATCCTAGAATGTACTCAACCACCAGGCTACCCCACAACCCCTCTTTTTGTTAAACAAATAAAACAACCCAGATTTCAGTTGTGTCCTTTTCCCTCATTCCCACTCCACTTCCACAGTGAAGCCTTCGCCAATCAGTTGCTTCCTCCCCCAGGAGATGTCTGCTGACTGCACTCCAGTCCTTGGTATTTGCTGTAGCTTTATGTCTCTCCTCACATCACTTCCTAAAATAGGTGCTTATGTGCCAAGCCACTTCCTCCCTTTCTCCAAGCATCTCCCGAAGTGTGACCTCCTCCATGGAGGTCTCAGTGGGACTGGTCTTGCAGTTCAGTTCTGTTTCCGACAGCTGAAGGGCATCCTCTGAGCTTTTCAGTTGCTGCATGGTCTCTGTCAGGGGGCTGGCCCGGGTTCCTGTTCTGCCTGTACTGAAGAGTCTGAGTCTCAGAGGGCAAAGCGGTTGCTAGCTTGCTCTGAGCACAGTGCCCATGCCTGTGCGTGCTGAAGAAATGTTATTTGATGATGTTCCTTGCTCTGTCCATGCCAGGAAATAGAAACTATGAACTAGCCAATCTGCTTCCCTTTGTGATATAATGTTCAGATCCTGAGTCTACTAGGCAACTAATTTCTGGGCTTCCTTTCACAAATTGAGAAACCATACGAAAATGTCAAGTTAATAAAATTGTTTTCAACATTGTAAGTACAAAGCATACCTTTGTGACAGTAGTATTCCATATTAAAAGGCACTATGTTTAATGTTCAATGGCATATGTTTCTCAGGCTACTTTGTAAAACTAAAATGGATAATCAAAACATGCCGATACTCATTTTTAAAATACTTGCTGTATTCGGTGCATGCACCATTATGGAGAACTTACACTCAAAGCAAAAAGATTTGTAGCAAAGCATATGACCTTCTTCGCACTACAATGACCATCCCCTAATTAGGCAATGCATCTGATAGTCATTAACAGGAATGAGATAATGAATCACTTTCTCTCTTCTTTGTTAATTTGCTGTAACCAAGCGGCTAATGGATGTCAGAGCTGAGTGATTGCACTGATTATAGTGATTTATAGTTGCAACAAAACAATTTAAAACCATTCTGATTATTCATGTTAAAGATGCTTTATGTTTTGTTTACTAAATGTTTTATGCCCCCTTTCTCCCACCCTTAGAATCCTGTCCCCCTTCTGCTCTGCTACTTTGAACAAAAAGACCTCTTCCCAGAAAACTTGAAAGTTGTTGCCTTTTGTTTTGTTTTCAGTCAAACTATATATATATATATATATATATATATATATATATATATATATATATATATATATATATATGGAGGGAGAGAGAAAGAGAAGGAGTTACAAAGTTTACCTACTAGAAACGAAGAGCCTTAGGGGTGGAAAGAAAACTTCAGTGGTGCCTAGTTCAAAAGAAGACAGGAATAAGAGGAAATAAGGCGAACTTCAAGCCACTTACCTTGGGGCTTCCCGTCCCCTCCTCGTCCTCCACAGACACATCAGTAGCCAGTATCTCAGCTTTGATGGTGTCCAGAGCTCTGAGAATCCAGCTGTGTTGCCGTTTGATTTGCCTCTGCAGCTCCTTCCATTGACTTGCAATCATCTTCAGCATGTCCTTCAGCCCTTCTCCAAAGGAGAGGAAAGCACAAGTTGTGGGCCCGACTGCATCTTTACCCAAGACCGTTACAGAGAAAACTAGGTGGCTAATTCAAACCACACAAGGGCTTTTAAACGACCTTATCATTACCTGCCACTTGTCACTCAGAACTGAGACTGGCAATTCTAAGACATAACAACACAAAACCAGGACAGGCATACGCAGAAACTGTTGCAGACTCAGTGGTTTGGTGAAAACAATGCAAGCGGAACAGATCGTGATATGTAAATGTCATTTATACCATAGCTCCACACCTCCAAGAGAAGGGTCTGTGCTGTGTGTGTGGAGAGTTTGTAGTGACCAAAAGGATTTATGAAAATAGAAACAGATAATTCAACTGTAAATACAGTAAAGCGGCCAGAATTAAGATAGTGCTATTTGATGTGAACGCATCTGCCTAATGCTGTTCTTTCCCTGTTGCTGCAGTTGCTGAAACAAAACAAAGCAAACACTAGCCTACCCCGTGTTGCAGTCTTCACTCTCAGAATAAATGGGATCATACAACAAAACTGCCTTTTTTCATAATGTGTTCTTCGTAAGTGCATCAACATTGGTCTAAGAACTGGTTGAAGGCCCAGGCCTCTGCTAACGCAAAGACCTACAGAGAATATGCCAAATGTCCACATGTGTGCGCTGGCAGAGAAACGGTCAGCTGTCTCTGGGCAGCCTGCCTTATACGCGTAATGACATCTATGTACACCCTGGTGCATTGTGCCCGTAAAAACAGCTCTCCCTCATTCTCTTAGCGTGATTTCCAGAGCTCCTACATCAAAAAGCAGTCAATGTGAAGTTTTCAGGGGTGTGATTTCAACTGGAGCTCAGACGAATGGCAAGCCCCAAATAAAATGAACAGACCGTTCGGAGGCAGTATTTCATCTTCTAAGTACCCCAGCATTGTATGCAGTATATGAAACATTTATAAATCCTGAAGGTCAATCTGATAATGTAAATATTAATAATACATAAGGAAGTGAATATGTGCAGTAATTTACAGCAATGCTTCTTCGTTCTTAATAGTCTGGAGACATAAAGACCCGCAATATTTCAGGAGGATTTACCTGCTTTGTGGGACGCAATGAGCTCCAGGAGTTGCTGTCCTTCCCCCTCCACGGCCTCCTTGAGGGCGCAGTGACTGTCTACATTCAACTTAAAACTCTGCAAAGAAGCACACGAGCGTCAGGCTCCGGCTGGCGGCTCCACGCAAAGCACGCATGCACAGTTACTTGCAACTTTTTATCAAGAACCACGTAGCCCAATTTACCCAACAGACAGACTAATTTGCAATACTAAAAGCTATTGATATTTGGGGTCTGGGCTCTACATGTTTCTGTTAGATTAGCAAAGTGCATTTGTTTGAAATCTAGATATTTGTTATGCTTTTATGAAAAGTCACATCCCATAGGCAGATGTGGAGAGTAGCAGTGTTCGATAAAATACAATGAATTCCCACCTGCATATGTGAGCTTTCTCCATTTCTAAGAACCATTAGTAACACAAATGGTTATGAAACCATAGAAGCTGGCAGCAGAAAACACAGTAGCCTTCTGTCATGTATATGTATCCACTAATACAACCCAGCTTGATTCTTCTCTGCTCCTCGACTCTACAGGAGCCACAGGACAAAGAGGGGCAGCTAGTTGCTATACTCTGGATTCCAGCGCTTTCTGGGCTTCTGCCCTTTAAAAGCTTGTTTCTCAAGCTGTGATGTCTCACGAGGATTTCCCCTCATGACAGCCATTGACTTCTCTCAAGGTTCATCTCAGATTCAGTCACTGCTTCTAGGAAGCCTTCCAGACACTCTCTGTGGTAGTTCCTCTTCTCTTTCTGCCCCTCACATGCACTTCTGCTGTACAATTTCTCACGGGCCTTGTACTGTATTTCTGTCTTTAGCTAGCATATTGCGAGCAATATAAAGAATTGTGAGTTTCACAGACATCTCTAACTCATGCCACACACAACAGTTCTCCAGTTTACTGGGAAAGGGAACATTTTCTGAGTGTGGCCAGTGGTGCTCTCTAGCTGAGAAGCTTCATCAAATGGTTTTCCAAACAACACTTTCAGCTCTGAAATGTTATAAGACATTCCAACCACAGGAATGCAGTGAAGGAAAATCACAGGGCCCAACAGCAGCAGAATCATGCATTAGTCTTTAAGGCAAAAATTCATTCCTCAACTTGACTAATTGGAAATACAGCTGCTACATTTTGGCTTTTTGTACTAAGGTTCCAAAATATACAAGGTGTTTTCTTTTGTTAAACGTCACGGGACATACATGGATACACTCGTGCTGTGCTTGATATTAAGCATATCTGACTTGGGATTAAAGGGCTCCTCACTGGGTTTAATTTGAATTGAAGAAGTTGTATAATCATAAATTGTGAGATCAGGACGTCATTCAGTGACTCATGCACTGTGTGTAGTCTGTAATGCCAAGCCAGGAAATGGAGACTTGAGGACCAAAAACTGTGGATCCTGGCCTTAGTGGACCCTGGCCTTAGTGGAAAACTGAACTTGGGGAGTACAGACTGAGTTGCTGTGGATGCTCAGTAGGGAGTCAGGATTATTCTTTCCTTCCTTGAGGAAAGAGGCTTTTTAAAGTACCATAGACAGAGACAGAATGAAAAGGGATATATGAAAATGAAAGATATCAAGATGCAGATAGGGATAAGGATTTGAACTAAAGCAATTCACAATGACCAATTACATCATACAATCTCTTTACAAAAGATACAGTAACTTTTCAGCTGAGCATGCTAGAAACTGACAAAATCTGGCTCCCTGCACACTTCAGCATTTCTTACATTGTTCCTTCTCCAAAAGGTGTTCAGCTGAATAAAATAAAACGTGTAATTCTCAGAAATCTTGAAACTTCCTTTTAAATGCAATGATTTACACATACCTCTAGCTGTATTTATTTTATGTGTGTGGGTGTTGCCTTGTGCATGTGTACTGTTTGCATGCAGTGCCTGTGGAGGCCAGAGGAGGGTACTGGGTCCCGTGAAATGAAATTGTAGGTGATTGAGAGTTGCTATGTGGGTGTTGGGAGCAGAACCAGGCCCTTTGCTTCGGCCCTTAGCACTTCTGATCACTCCAGTGAGGCAGTACCTAGGGATTACTAAACATTTATTACCTTGTGGTGAAGCGTAGCAGCTTTTGCTTTTTGTCCCTGCTATGGAACTCCGGCATGCTAAAGCAATGCCACTCAGACTACGGCACACGGGTTTCAGAAATGGGCCCAGGGAAAAGAGAAACATCTGAGATGAGCTCAGAAGCACCGAGCTTTGGAAAGAAAGCTGTTGTGAAAATGTACAGCCTGGTGCTGCTTTGACTTACTGTTTACCTGTATCGAGTGGATGGTTATCACCAGCTTTCAAAAGGCATTCCAGGCCTATGCCTCAGTACCAAAGAGAATGGAGGAACCCGAGAGGGTGGCTGGCAATTTACCATCATTGAAGCTGAGTGTACAGGGCAGATACATCTGAAAATGACTGTGCTTCAGGATGATGTGGAAACATTTGATTAGGAAATTGGAAAATATGAGTTATTCATTATTAGGAGCAAGATAATCTGATAAGCTCGATGTTGTATAAAAGAGCCATTTAATACAACTATTATCCAAATGGCACATTATTGCTTGATTTCAGGTGCACCCATTAACCATTAATAGTATCAAGCAAGGAATTCACAATAGGCCCCAAGAAGGCAGCCAAGCAGGCACATTCACAGAATCGGCAGTGAGATCTCAGGCTAGGAATGGTTCCTCAATAAACTCTCCCTGTGTTGCTGCCACTTCTCCTTAAAGAAGGGTTTTCCGGTTTCCATGAGTTCTTTTCTTTACTTGGATAGCTGAGCATGGCTCCACCCTTACGCTGTGAGAATATTTTCTCCGGGACGCCTACAGTATGTACAGACATTCAGTAGGTGTACCTCTTTGATGCCTGCACCACTCCCTGACAGGGCAGAGAATCTCTGAAGACTGAATCTGTGGCAAGAGCATTAACATGGGCATGTTCCATGCCCCCATGTCACTGATTACATGAAATGCCACAGACATGTACGGCCTGGATCCTAGGGAACATGGAACCTTTGTCAGTGTCCTTAAAGGAGCATGTAACTGAGTGACAAGAAGAGAGTAACTAGGAGGGTAAAAAAAAGAACTCAGTGCAGGCCTGGGAGATGGCTCTGTGGGTGAAGGTACTTGACAGCAAGCCTGATACTTTCATTTCAGTCCCTGGGACACATGTGGTAGGAGAGAACTGACTCAAGCTAGTTTTCCTCTGGTTTGCACACTCACAGTCATATACACCCAAAAGAAAATTAATTGGTTAAATATAAATAAATAAAGTATCCGGGCTAGCAAGGTAGCTATTCAGGTTAAGGTGCCTGCCACCAAGCCCACCAATCTGGTTTTGAGCTCTAGCATAAGGAGAAAATCAGCTCCTAAAGTTTCCTCTGACCCCCTCATGGCACACACTCTCCCACCCACCCACACACAAGTACACAAAGTCAATAAAAATGTCATTTTTCAAAGAGAAGATCCAATGACTAAAACAAATACTGATTATCAAAACAGTTATTTTAAGTTAACCAGTGGGCAATGATATTATTACCTCTGGCATGATCAGCTTATATAGATCTGAATATACCGTAAATTCAGAAAATTCAGGTATGCCCATGACCACACCTGGGCCATGATCAGATCTGACAAAGCAGATCATGCATAAGGAATGAATAAAGAAAATCACAACGGAATAGGGAAATCGTCACTTCTGAGGGATCTCCTAGGACCAGAGGTGTGGGAAGACCACATTCAAAGGCTTAAATGCCCACAGCGGTTCCATCCTTCCGGCATCATATGGTGAGGACGGCCATGTGGGTACTGTCTGCTCCTGCCAGGTCCCCTGAGCACCGTGAGTTTTAGGATGTTTGTGAAGCACTGTGAGTGCCAAAATGGGCTCCAAATTCTTCCTTGAATGGATTTTACTTTTTTCCAAGACATAGGTATACACTATCACTCTACTTATTGAGCAGTTTCTACCAGATTTACATATATAAAAATTAGCAATATATAACCATAGTCTTGGGGAAGCTTATAGTCTATTCATTGGACCATAAAGGCAAGGACAAGTGTATCTGTATGAGCCAGCATAGAATACATGTGTAATTGGGATTTTATGTGTGACACAAAGTGGTAGAGCCTTTTGTCTCAAGCAAAATGGGGCAATAATAGTCCAATGAGATTCGCATTGTTTGTTTAAATTACAACATACTACACCAGCCAAGCATAAAAAGGCCAGTACAGTGTGGGCTGCGGGGCCCATGAGATCCAGTCTCAGCAGGGCCTGCAGAGAGCTTATGGGAATAAACTGACCTGCATACAGGTCTGGAGAGGCCCTTTGCAGAAGCAGAAGCAAGAAGCCCTGATTTCTCCACATGGCAGGGGCAGGCTGCAGGCAGGGGAGATAGCACCTTTGACTACACAGGACTTGACCCCAGAAATCGTGAGACAGCCATGAAGAACATGCCAGTGGCACGGCAGACCTGCAGGTAGGAAGGGCTTGCTGCCTGTTGCATAGCGACTTGATTTTTAAAGGACGTGCTGGAGACAAGCGGGCCGTGTTAGGAGCAGCTATGGTGATATGGTCAGATGTCTCTGTGTGTTCATACTCTTCTTAATTAAAAAAAGCTATGCTCTTTCTTCTAAATGAAGAGAAGAAAGAAAATTGGAGCAAGTCTTCTGTCTTTTCAAGTTTTTTCTCAGTGCGTGAGAGCAGCATATGCCAGAATCTAGTTCTTTGGCTGTTCTGATGATAAATACCAGAGGTTATTAGTCAGGAGCCTCCAAATGTGAAAGGCATGTTGAACTGATGAACCCTTACTCCCACTGTCACAAGGGGACGGTGCATATGCTGATGAGTAAGACTCTCGGTGACACTTCCTCACACAAAGATTTTCACTCCTCAGAAAATGAGAACACGCCCTTTTGCAAGGGCGGGGGAGGAAGTGTGTTCAGTTAGAGAAGCCAAGGTTTGCAGTCCCGACCTGTCTGCCTCAGACCATCTTTGCTCAGGACCCACCCTCTACCTGGCTCTCTCAGAGGGCCCCTGGCAAGGAAGTAAGCCAGTCAATGGTGAGGAGCCCAGGAGCTCCTGCTC